GCAGTGTAAATGTAAGCCAAGAAAAATATGTTTAGATACATACATGTCATTCCTACATGATGGTAAGGGGCCTGGCTGGAGTTGTGGGAAGGAGACCATCTGAACTGCTCATTTCTTGGTTTTCAGAAATTTGAGTGTACTTAACATTCTGGAAGAGCATAAAACACCACAGCACAACCTGAGCCATGTGTCAATGAAGACTTTTTGTCAATGAATTGTGCTAACCTCCTTCATATTTTCATTGCTGTATACAATTTTCATCTCTCTTCCCCGCCCCGCAACAGATAGCACATTAACAGATAAAAAACTTGTGTCAGTTAATAAAGTCTAGTCATGAAGTAACAGCTATTAAAATTGTTGGGCTTAAATTCTAACCCAAATGTAACGCCTGAACACCTCCAAGGAGGTTCATATGTGAAAATGGAGGAGCTAGATTTTGCAATAGTACCTTTAGCTAGGGAAGGCTGGACAGATCAAACTATGTTGAGGGTCACTAGAAAGGTATACTTTCCAGGAGAGGGCTGCCACTAGTGGGATCCACTTGGATAGGATGTAAGCCATCAGCCCATAGGTGACTGGTAAGGAGGGCAACCTGCCTACCACCACCACTGCTGCCTCTGTCCACACAATAGGCGTGCACACCTCATCTAGGGCCAAGCCATATCCACAGCTTCTCACTATACACTTTTCTCCAGATATTTCTTTTATGCTTTACTTAGACCTTATCCTTTATTCCTGGAAATGCCACTCAAACCAAATGCTGCCATTAATTTAAATATTCATTGTATCACAGTAATGGCTAGAGGTCCCGCGGCTGTATATTAATGAGACAAAGACAGGCATGGTCTCAAAGAACTCACATTTCATAAAGGACCAACAGGTGTTGAAAACAAACCAACTTGTGGATGGGCACAGTAACAATGAATTGACAGGTGTCCAGTATAATGAGCAGAAGGTGTATTATAATACCACCAACACAGATATTTTATGATTTGACAAATCCAATGTGTGAGATAGATGGCTCTGACATTTTGACTCCAGTGTTGTCTCAGATTTCTGGATCCTTGTCAGACTGAGCTATATAACTAGAAGGCTACATAAAAACAGTTCACAACATTTTCAGACAGGAGGTTATAACTTATTATGCCAGGTGAATAATTGAAAAAACATACCACTGATTAGCTTGACTTTTAAAAGCTGCATAATGTTAGCTGGGAAATAGTGCAATGGTCTGAGAAATTAGGAGATAATTCAGTTGGTCAGAGGAAGGGGAAGGTAATACATTATATGGAATGTAAAAATCTATTACCAACCTGTCATGGTTCATGAGCTACAGTAGGTGCTCTGGGCCAAGCTAATCATATTTGTCAAGTGATTATGTAATAATTTTTTGCATACCAGCAAGTAGAATTTTACTTTAGCTTTTGTTGTTGTCACACATTTTGAATGATAATTTTAAGAAAGATTATTCCAAAGAAGCTTACATTGAATATTTTTTATAATATTGTCAGTGCAACCAATAAACCCTGCTAAAAGAAAATTAAAGTGCCAAATTCAAGCACACAATTAGGAAGTGCCAAAATTGGCTCTCTTCTGTACATGCAGTTTGATGCTGTTTTTATATACGTGATCATATACTCTTTTGAACACAAGATCTCCACCTTATTAAATCCAGAGGAAGTTTGGGAAAAGTATAATAGAAAGCATTCGAAAGTTTAACTTATGAATGGTGCTGTCACTTCCACCTGTGATAAGCTACTACCTTTAGACTGGGGCTCTCTTAGTTCTTTTCAACATGCTTGATCCATCCATGGAGACCATTTTTAGCAGTAGCTAGGGTTTGGGCTCTAGTTAAGCAGGAAGTGTAAACCAGCTGAAAATTAGGCTCTGTTCCTGCTCTATGCAGCCATAACTCTGGGAAAATCTTTTCTTTTTTATCTGCCTTTCAAAAACAAGGTGTGTGTTATATTCCGGGACGTACTTAATGCAAAAGTAATCTTATTAGTCTTGATAGGACTACTCATGTAAGGCAAGCAGGGTGTACTCCTTATCCATAAGAATGCCTTAATATCTACCAGGCTAAGTACAGACAGTCAAAAAGCCCAAGACTGAATTGATTCAGTCTTTTCATGTTAGTCTAAGCTGCATGGATTGATTGATTGATTGAATAAACAAGTGAACAGACATTTACTTTTGATTCTGGAATTGCAGCCACATGCCTGCAGTGGCTCGGGGGGTAGGGGTAGAGGGGAGAGCTAAAGCATGCCTCCCTGCTTGGCTGGAGCAGATAGCTTGGGCCAAGGCTATCCTGTCCACCCTGGAGGGGGGAGGTGCAGGGAAGGTGCAAAGCAGCCTGGGATGCTAGAGGACTGTGAGTTAGCTTGAATGTGGAGGGAATCTGGGACAGAAGTTCAATAGACCAATTTAACCCCCAGGGCTCAGTCCTCGGGCCCACACTGTTCAACATTTTCATCAGCGACTTGGACGAGGGAGTGAAAAGCACCTTGTTCAAATTTGCAGATGACACTAAGATGTGGGGAGAAGTGGGCATACTAGACGGGAGGGACAGGCTGCAGCTGGATCTGGACAGGTTACAGGGGTGGGCAGATGAGAATAAGATGGGATTCATTACTGATAAGTGCAGGGTACTACACCTAGGGAGAAAGGACCAGCAGCATACCTACAGGCTGGGGAACTCCCTTCTCTTCAGCACAGAGGCAGAAAAGGATCTTGGAGTCATTATAGATTCCAAGATGAACATGGGCCAACAGTGTGGGGATGCGGTCAGGAAGGCTAACTGCATCTTGTCATGCATCCACAGATACATCATGAGCAGGTCCAAGGAGGTGATCCTCCCCCCAGGCCGCAGTTGGAGTACTGCATCCAGTTCTGGGTGCCACACTTCAGGAGGGATGTGGACAACATGGAGAGGATCCAGAGGAGGGCCACTCACATGATCAGGGGACAGCAGGGCAGACCCTACGAGGAGAGGCTACAGGACCTGAAACTGTTCAGCCTCCACAAGAGAAGGCTGAGAGGGGATCTGGTGGCCGTCTATAAACTGGCCAAGGGAGACCAGCAGGCAATGGGAGAGTCCCTGTTCCCCCAAGCACTACTGGGAGTAACAAGGAATAATGGCCATAAGTTGATGGAGAGTAGATTCAGGCTAGATACCAGGAGGCACTGCTTCACAGTCAGGGTGGCTAGGATCTGGAACCAACTTCTAAGGGAAGTGGTGCTCATTCCTAGCCTGGGGGTCTTCAAAAGCAAGCTAGATAAACACCTTGCCGGGGACAGCATTCTTTCCTGCCCGTGGCAGGGGGTTGGACTTGATGATCTGCTCAGATCCCTTCCAACCCTACCACTTATGACACTATGAAACTATGAAATCTAAATCGGTTAAGTCTGATACTACATCCATCCAGGTTTATCTTAAACTGGTTTCAGCCAATTTGAAAGTGGTTTATGTTCACTGAACTTCTTTTGTGTAACAGATTTGAACCAATTTCCGATCACTATACCAGTTTATATGTAATTTCTGTTCCTAGACCCAAAAGTCTTCTTCCATGGCGCACACTAACTCAGTGACCCACAGTCTTTAATGTGCATATGACCCTCACAATAATACTTTCGTTTAGTGAATGGAGATAATGAATCTTTCCTGTGCTGTCAGACATCACTTAGGGCACAGACCATTCCTGTCTATACTGGACTTCTAGATAAAGTCTAATAAGTTTTTCCTCTCTGGGTGCATCTACATGTGCAGTTAAGCACAACTAAATTTAATGAGCATTAAGCAATTTTTGGCAGGTGTCTACACATTTAGGGACTTGGCACTAAAGTTAGTCCCAAGTCACTACAGCCCTGCCATCTGTCCCTGTGGCCACCGGGGAGAGCTCCAGCCTCTAGCCACATGGCTGCCAGCACTTCTGCTTTTGACAAAGTCATACTGCTTTTTGCATGATGTCTTTCCAGCCCTATGAATCTTGTAGTTCTGTCTGCAGGGGGGGCCAGGTTTGAGAGGAAGAATAGACAATGCCCTTACCCCCACCCAAACTGTTCCATAGCTGGGGGTGAGGGCACTGTTGTGGGTAGTAGGAAATGCAGGTTTTAATCCTCTCTGGCTGAGGATGGCCCTCAGCCTGGCTCTCCTAACTTCTAGGGTTAGTGCCTTAATATCTAAGCTGTTATATAGAAGGTGAGCTCCCCTCTGCTAATGGTGTTGAGTGAAAGTTGGTCATGGCTGCTGACCTGTATACTTAACTCAGTGCTGTCACTGTGTGGGTTAGGCATGCTCTGACATACCCCTGACCATCTCCAGTGCATATTTTAGGTCCCGTCTCACTTCCTTTTGGATCACAGGGGAGCTTAGACAGGAGTTAAACACAGAGCTGCTCAAATTGGCATGCTTCTGCATGTATGTGGAAGCTTAAATTTACGTGATCTGGGGCTTTTTGCCAGATGTCCCAAACCTCAGCCCATATCTGCAGGGCCATCCTTCTACTCATTCATTGGTGACAGCTAATATTCTCTTCAAATTTCAAAATTCTTTTCCACAGGAAGCACTATAACTTAATATGACTCTCCTAGATTTTCTCCACACCCCTATAGCAATGCAAGGAACAGTAACTCTTTTTAGATGACACAGAATATATGATAGAGACCACCACATGTTACTTTATAAGTAGAGTTCCTCTTGATTTCCTGTGATACAACTCAAAAAGATTAATTTCACTACGTCTTCTAATGCCCTAGTAGCCTAGATAATATGCATGTTCCTGTTCTATCACTGGTACCTGAACCCCAGGAAAGCCCTTACACTGAAAGGCACTGTTAGCTATAGTTAAAAGAAGACACAAGCATGGAAACTGTATGGATAGCCTGCTCATCTAAACCTATTTGCAAGCAAGGCTGTTATTCTACTTTATATCCAGGTAGGTACCATGCTATCATTTTGTATTGTAACAGTGATAACCTAATGAACTGGTTTTGTCTCTTAGGTTATGTTGACATTGGGCTGATTCCAAAAGGTGCAAGGGACATCAGGGTCATAGAAGTGACAGAAACAGAAAATTTCCTTGCAGTACGGAGTGAAGACCCAGAAAAGTATTACCTAAATGGGGGTTTTATTATCCAGTGGAGTGGAGAGTACAAAGTAGCAGGAACAGTATTTTTATATGCGAGAAAAGGAGATCTAGAAAATCTGACTGCATCTGGACCCACCAATGAGTCCGTGTGGATACAGGTACAGTAAGGGCCAGCAGCAAAAGCTGCTGATCCTGCCTGACAGCAGGATGCTCTGGAGCTTTAAAAAAGAAGTGGAGAAAATAAGTTTGTTAACTCATCCCTTCAGCACAAATCCCTACGTTACATTGGCATGGCTTTGAACATAGTCATGCAGCCAAAGGCCCAGATCCAATTGGTTTTCATAAGCACTTGGGAGTAACCCTCTTGGTTGTGTTTAAAGCTGGTTTTGTTTAAAGATCTTACTGAATTTAGAACATAAATTGTGGAGGGGGAAAGACTTATTATGTTATTTAACGTTGAAAGCTTAACATTGACTTAATTTGATATATTTTCTGTTGATTGATCCAAGTTAATTTAAGTGTGGGTATGAGAGAGAAGAAAGGGCCCACTAATATGGACTTATTCGGGTGAGTTTGATGAGTAAGTATGTTTAGTGTTCCAATGCAGATAGCAAGGTGTAGATTTTTGTCAACTTTATATTTAATTACATTTTTTATGACATTGTTTTGCTATCTTTATCACCTAGATTGCCTTCTCCCATTCCCCTACATTATAGCCTATGAAATAGCTGATAATAAAAACTACATTTTCACTTAGGTCATTGTGTCTAATCTTTTGTTTTAGTTGATTTAGTCAAAATATATCAGCCTAAGTCTTCATAACTGTTCTTGCAAAGTGTGTACACATATAAGGATGGGGTTTGCCCACAAGTGAGGATTTGTGCATTCCCATTTCTCAAAGCTAGCTATACCTCAAGAGTCAGCCATGGGTTGCTGGGCTGGGTGCTCTAAGTGTGCATGGATGTTTTTGTATACATGCTTTTGAAGATTTGGAATAATGTGTTTTAATAATTTGACTTCTATAATTACATAAATCACATCTCTTTGTTTTCAGCTACTCTTTCAGGAGAATAACCCTGGCATAAAGTATGAATACACTATACGTAAAGAAGGAAGCCATGAGAATGACATAGGTGAGCCAGAATTTTTTTGGCAATATGGAGACTGGACTGATTGCAGCGTAACCTGTGGAAGAGGTAAACAAAAATAAACAGCCCTCTTCCCTTTTTCTCGCCTTTTTTCCCACTGTCAACTGATTTGATTTCCGTTGTTCTAGTTCTACGGAGCTAGGTTCTTTAGCTTGTGTTAAGTAGGAAGTCAGATTAAATGGACCAAAAAAGTCCATTGTGAAGTTTAAAACCTTGTAATCTATTAAAAATTACTTTGGGCAAATTGACAAGTGGGTTTTGTTTTGTTTTGGTTTTTCTAATATAAAAAAACCTACCTACAACATCACTTTTTTTTCTACAAACAAAATTGACCCTCTTATGGGTTTTCTGAGAGAGTCATGTACTGAAACAGTCACTGGCACTCACAGTTACTATAGTTATCACCATTATCAGTTAACGAAGTTCCATACACTTTTTTATTATCAGCCTTTCTGAGTACATGATGTAAAGTTTTTGCCTTCAGTGGCTGCATCTACATAAGATACTGACTGTGCAGTTGTTATTGCGCAGTCATTTAGTACTTGCATACCCAAATGCTAAATGTGTAGTAACTGGAGTAGCATCCCCACATGACTCCCTGGTGATGCTGACTGCTCAGTAACTCCTTATTACTGTGCAGTAGCATCACATTACAGTTCATGCCACATAATGCAGCTGTGAAGTAGTAACAAACTACTGCGCAGTAAGCATCTCATGTGGATGTGTCCAGTTACTAGTAATAAGCGATATTTTAGTGAATTTCTCTAAAACAGCTCATCGGAATTAGTATAAAGAGCTTAAATACAGCAGTGTAGCTAGCGATGGGCAAGTGGGGCGCCAGCCCTGAGAACCAATTTAAAGGAGATGCCAGAATGCCAGCTCTTGGGGAGTAGAAGCAACAGGGACAATCAGGGCTGGGCAGACAGGACCGTGGCTGCAATAGTTGCGGCAGGCAAGACTTTCCTCACCCCCATGCAGGGTTTGCCCAAACTGCAAACTTGCTAGTTAGACCACTGCTTACATAGGTTTAACTTGGTTTACAGTATGATAGTTTTAAAACCCCCAAAGTTGTCTTGCAATTCTGTAGAAAATAATAAATCATACCCAAAAGAAGGTTATGTGGAAATTAGCACAAGAAACATAAGGTGGAATCCAACGGCAGGTCTAGAAGACAGCTTTGATGATAAAAGTAAAATATAAACAGGATGAACATCTCACTGTAGAAGGCAGGGTAGATTTGCACCTTGTAAACTAAATTAGAGATGCTTAGATAATTAGATATAGCTTAAGACAGTATGAAATTATGAAGGACCTGGGGTTTCTTTGCAAAACAGCTTCAAGGCTTTTCTTTATTACTGCTGAAATTTTGGGGGGGGGGGGGCAAAAATGTTGTCAGAGAAGGGCCATCAACATGCAGACTTGTAGCTTTCTATCAGCAATCATACTGGCCTCTAAAGTCTGTATTTGAATTTATTGATTGAGCAGTAGAAAAGATCAAGGCTTGTTGTTTGAGTAATTTCAACTAAGCTATATAAAACAATGGAACAATTTTGCACTATCCAGGAGTTGCTTAAAGTGATGTTTCTGTTTCTAACTGTTACAGTCTTACCAGTGCTACATGGTAATTACTGGTTTCTTTAATTTCTTGCTGTAAGGTTTTTGGCATTAAGAAACAAAAAATCTCTCATAACAGTATAGTCTGAGATGCACTGTAGCATATTAAGGCAGTAATGACAATATTGGGCATAGTGTTTAAACTTTCCCTGTGAGAAAAGCAATTCTCTTTTTCAGCACTTTGAAGAAATGGCTTCCTGCTGTCTTTTATTTGAGAAGATGAATGAATACCTGATAATATTCTAAGGAAAGTATCTCTAGAAGTAGTCGGTAAACAGTTTGCTTTTTCTGTGAGCAAGGCAAAATGTAGTTTGCTTCAGCATTTGGAACAACTAAATCAGATGCATAGAGTACCCTTTTTCATACTATATCATTATCTATAGCTAGCTGTATGTGTTCTAAAACCTATATTGCCCCAATATCTAACTGTTAGTAATGATCAACTTAATGAGCAGCCTAAAACTAAAATGAGATACAAATTTTATCAAGCTGCTGTCTGACATTAGCAGCACTTTCCCAAAACATTCCCTGCTAAAATAACAACAATCCTGGAAAACCCTTCTGGCTGGAGTGTACCTGTGGCACTTCGTTTGGCACTGCTTTTGGACTGCCATCTGGATTAATTAAATTCAAGCCAAAAGCTACTGCTTGTTTTGTCAATTTCTAGCAAATAAATGGCGTAGCCACTGATTAGTTACTTTTTTTTCCAATCTCAAATAGATTTTTCTAGAGTTCACATCTAGTTCTCTACAGACGTAGAAATGGAAATATACTTAAGCAGGATAGCGATCCGACTTCCCATGGCTCTGCAGGGTGCAATCAAATGTCACAGAAGCAGAGGTGAGAAACCTTTGCAGGTCCCACCGTCCTCCCATATGCAGAAAACTAAGGCAGAGAGAGAGAATGGGTGGAGCTGTGGCTGTTTTCCTTTCAGTTCAGCTGATTTACACCAGTAGGAGATTATTCAGCCTGTTCAGCAGCTGGAGAATGAAGCTGAGCTCCCCAACTGGCTTAGTTACAAAGGCAGACTAAAGCAGGGGAGATAAGTTAATGGAAGGGGGTACAGAAAGGGGAGTTCGGGCTTTCTAATTCAAGGGTGCAGTGTGTGGAGTTTTTTGCTCTCCTTGGTTGCAGAGCAAAACAGAGGCTGTGCTTGGTTTTTTCCATGCTTCTAGGCTTTGCTGGTTTCCAGGAAGGGATTTTTACCCTTCTGTTGTACAGGTTTCAGGAGACTTTTGGTCTTCCTCAGAGGCATTGAGTGCTGGCTGCAGCCAAAGCTGGGGATTTTTACCAGGTGTGACAGTGCTCTTGCTGGGACTGAAACCTGGAGGTTCCTGGTTTGAAGGTCCTGCCCCTCTGCTCAGGGTCAGACCAATGGCCACATTTGGGATCAGGAAGGAATTTTACCCCACAGGCATACTGGTACAGACTCTGTGGGGGGG